ATCCAATATTGTCCCTATACAACCTCGGGGCTTTCGGAATATCATCTTTATAGCTCCAAGAAGTAGGGTGAAGGCGCGGCACTCCAGCCAATATTTGAAACGTCGAATATATGTATGATACAGGGGACACCAATGCTTGACGCCCGGACAAAAAATTCAACTAATAAACTTATTAATTAACAACAACCACAATTTGTTTAGTATGAAAGTGCAAGTCGAGATATCTGATTGTTTAAAATAAATAAAATTAATAGGTAGTAGTTAAGTCGATTGCTGGATACATTTTTTTGAAGAGGTACTTGCATACAGATTTGGTCCAATGTTTTAAAGCATTCTGGAGTTTACCTAGTAGACAACCGAAATCGAAAAGGAATATAATATTATAGACATACACTAAAAGTATAAAAACGAATTGCGTTATAAACGGCCAGACGTAAAATTTATATGCACGGAACCTTTAATAAAAATTTATTTCGTATACATAAATTTTAAAAGTGTCAGGCTTTATTGGAAACGGACTTAAAGGCCGGAATCATTCCTCGTGTAATAGCATTATTTATTGCAATAGAAAAATAAATTTTCTATGTTAATGCAACGATTTGATGGCAGCTCTCCTGGTTATCTGAGGTAAACATTAGTAGCTGTCAGTCAACGCCTAACTTTCCTGCCGAAACCAGGAAAATCTATAAATCTACGACACTGACAACTCCTGACTATAACACTCGTGTCGATTCGGCACCGTGAAAATCCCTTTTCGAATTTAAACGGTAGTTGTTCTTGATTGTGCGGTTCATTTTCCCGCTCTCGTTATGTCGCCTTTACCCTTTTCGAATTACTGACTCGGCCATATTTTCCGCATGTACGAGGAAAGCTCCGTTTTCCTCGCCGGCAAATATTAAGACAACTGGCAATACGCGAATAATTAATTCTTCATACGTGCAAACATCGTTAATTTTGGTCGCATTGATGTATTTTGGTTCTCGGTAAGTCAAAGGGGATTAGCTTCTACCGAAAAGGGTTTTCCATTCAGGCCTATGTATGTCACAAACAACGGAGAGGTCGTTAGAAACGTGCCTTCTTGCCTCGTCGAAATAAATTGGTTATTCGATACAGCTTCAAAGAAGTTTCATGATCGAGACTCGACTGTGCCCTTGTGAAAGCCAAAGATTTAATATACGTAGATATACATTTAATTAGAAAAATTAATGCACTATTTACTTCTACTAAATCCAACCGCATGAAAGGTAAACCCCATGCCGGGGATTTTTCGCCCGCTGGCGATTTAATCCCATCAAACAAGTATTTTTTTTGGATACGTCAATAAGTGACGAAACTGTTCCCGATGCCACATTGTATGCCCTTGCATTTTCGAGTGGGATTTCGTTAAGCGGATTTCTGGATTGACATTATACCGGACACGCGTATACGCACGCTTGTCAACGTTTTATTTCAATCGGACAAATCAAACATTTCGAACAATAGCGCTCGGTACGCCGAAAATGTTTCATTTCCAATGTATCAATTCGTCGGGAAATAAAATCGCTAGTGTAAATAACACACGTGCTTTAAATTTTGGCGTTTTTCTCTAATGTGTACACCTGGTTATTTGAATTTTTTTTTCAGAGGGTAATGTAAGAGTGATTAATGGACATTTTACTATTTCAAGCTAATTAAGAGTTTTTATAGTCAGTTATTTTCATTCAATAGAGTCAGTTTTTTACACAAAAACGTCAGTTATTTTCACGCTAGTTTCTTTACCCAGCAGGATGAATTATTTTGACCCAATTGAGTCAATTATTTTCACCCATTAGAGTCAGTTTTTTATACAAGAAAGTCAGTTATTTACCTAAGAGACTCAGTAATTTTTACTCAAGAGTAGATCCAAGAAGGATCTAATAAGAAAAGGGGTCGTATGAAATTCCTATTAAATTATCTAGAACTTGTGCATGTATTTTACGGCCAATTAATATAAAAAATTCATTTTCTTATTGCGTACACAAAAAAACAATTAACAAAAAATAAAACCCCGCGTGGAGATTATAAAATTATCTACCTATGCCCACGGGAGGGAAGCAAGTGACCTGGATTCGCATGTGGATGTGGTGGAAATATCCGTAATAACGTGTTTGTACTATTAATCAACATCCTTCATAACGCAAAATATCCCGCTGGTAAAATAGCCGAGTCCATAAAAGAACCGGGGAGTAATTTTAAAAACAAATATGAATATTCTTATCAAATGTTCATTTGCATATTTTTGATATGACCCGAATAAAATTTTATATGGAAATGTAAATTAGAGTAGGTACAGCCTAAACAAAATCGTAATAATATTTTTCAAGGAAGTCCTAACTTCCCCATCATCGCTATAAAGAGCCTCTTTGAGTTTGAATTTTATTATGAGCGCAATTAAAAACTTAACCAAAAGTAACAACTGGGTTGCTGTATTTTTTTCCCTTTCGAGCTCGTTTTTAATAAGTACACTCGCGTTTTGTGTAGGCGAAACACTCGAAAGAAAAACTACATTAATTGAATTGAAAAGCGGTGCAGCTTTTACTCAACAGTTTGCGCGTTTTGCATTTTATCCTTTTCAATTATTTATTGCTGTGCCAAAAACGCTTTAACGTCGGCGAATTTCGAAATTATTACTTCTATCGATAAAGAAAAAAAACGGAGTTCCTTATTAAATTTTAACGTCGAGCTATTTTTATCGATTCCGTTTTTAAAAGCTTCGTATCGATTTTTGCGCATAAATTTTTGATTGTTAAAAAAATATTGGTACCTTCCCAACACTGTAACATTAATACATGTTAGTCAAACATTTGAACGAATCGAACAGCTGAATTACGCATTACATCCAATTACCCGTACAATTGAAGTACCTACATAGGTTTCCATCGGTATATCTGCGACGATTTCGCATTAAAACTCGCGTATAGGATGACAAGTGAGTTTGAGAACCGTTAAATTGGTCAGCCAAATGGCAAATAATAGCGGCGTTAATACAGGTGTTGTTATCGCAATCAAACATCAAATGGCGTAATTTAAATGAAATTCGGAGGAACTTCAAGTAACAAAGTGGGTATCGATTGGTAAACTGTAATTAACCGATTCGTAAAATTGAAATACCGTACGGGCTTCGGAAATTTCATAGTAAGATTATTGTAGTGCTCGTTTCGAATATTGCAGGTGTTATGCGAGTTCGCGATGCAAGCTTGAAATTAATCGAGCTTGTAATTAATAATATAATTTCGATTACGAACGTAGATTTCACTAATAAAAAAGAGTTTAATACTATTAATAGTATTGTTGTTTATTTAAAGATCTATTTATACACAAAAAATCGAATCGATGCGGTTGAAACAATCGTTATAAAACGAATTAAATAATGTAGAAGGAAAAATTATATGGAACCGCATCACGTATCTATTCGTTACATCAAGAGACGAGACAAGATAAAGCCCATTTCCTTTTTAATATTTCGCGCTAGTAAAGCAAAACGACGTACTATATCAAAGGGCAAATGAAACCCCGTCCCGGCGGTACTCGACACAACACTTCCGATACAATGTCGTTTCAGGAACGAAATTTTCGCGCTTCCGTTACAAACGGTAGGGACGTTTTCGCGGAAGATGGTGCATTCGAATTCATTCCTGCTTTATTACGAAAAATATTTTCATATTTACTTCGCATGAACTGACGACGATAATGGAGTAGCGAAGTGTTATTGTATCCCGCCAGCTCCGGGGGTTGTTTATGTCTTGTTAGAAAATAAGGAAGGCGCTTTTATTAGCTCGCTCGAATGTCTTCTCTTAAATACCTTATTCGCGTCGGCACATAAAAGTACTAATAGTACATTTCATATAACAATAAAACTAAGATTGCTTCGATCGTAAGGTATAGGTCACTTAAAATTGACGATTTTATCTTTTAAAACGATTTAGGTGGAATCATAAAGAATTGTGTAATTTTATCATCAATTTAATAGTTACAAAATAATAATATAACTATCATACAAATCACACACATACACCCTTATATTTTTACTATATTAATTGAACAGTAGGTACGTAATATGAAAGTAGAAAAGAATTGTCTATAAAAAGGGTTTTCCGAATATAAAATGGTCAATAAAAACGATCGACCGTCCGTTAATCTACCGTAATTATCTTTCAAATATTGGAAAACCGGAAAACCGGTAAAGTAGGGAGAAAATATCAAAGGAAACCAGCCGAACTAACGCCTGCGGTCTCCCAATAAAAGCGTCGCTTTACGAGGAATAAAATCGCAAAATAAAATATGTCGGAAAAGTGCTGACTATCCGACAACCGTAATAGTTACGACTAGCTTTCCCTGCTCTCACATCATATTTCAATTCGACCGAAACTAAATTGGTGTTTTCCTTGCTGTACACCGGGAGTATTTTCGCTACATTGATAAATCCGGAACGCTCTCGTGTCGTTATTCCGGTATGACTGCTTTTGACGTTTTTAAAAATTCACGCCAAGAATTATGTGGCGAAAAATTAATGGAATTTATAATGAAACGCTAAATTATATTCGCCGTGGATGTAATGAATTAGTTTCAATTTTGTAATTTTCGTTTCGGAAGGGCGGAGGTGCGTTTTCCATGATCACGGTAAATTTGGGGAAAGAATATACATTACTAATTTTCCATCTATAATACAGATTCAGAATATGAGTGAATTCATTAAATAATTCATTAAATGATGCTATTTATTTTAATGATTGTATTCTAGGTATACAAAAGGCTTTTATGTTTGCTTATGAGTTATATATTAAATATTGAGTTAATGTAATAGATGTTATTTAGGGTAAATTAATAATAAATTAAAGTTTTATAAATAAATGATGAAAATTAACCGTACTCCCAACCCCGCGACGACTAAAATATTATAAGAAAATTCTCCCCCATCGCATCGACATAATTCTAATAGCATCCCGTGGAATCCTTCAGCGACAAAAACCCGTTTCCAATCTATGAATAACAATTTCGATTTTCTCCAATTTTCCTCTGGCCTTATTAAAACTCCTCCACATGCGCTCTGCCTCCAACTTCCAACTCCCAGTCATCTCTACAGCCGCAACTCCACACAGCCGCAACTTTCAGTCGACGGCAGGCCGTCGGTTGAGCCGCGCTTTGAACACACCGGCGGCGGCGACGGCGGCGGCGACGACGGCTCCGAAGCGTCGCGACGTGCCTGCTCATCCGTTACCGTGGTAACTTACATTCCTTCTAATGGTAAACAGTTGCGCTTTACGCCCGCAGGCGTCTTTCATGTTGCGATGTTCCTTTGTGAGTTCTTTTCGATGCTGCTGGAGGCCCTTTTTCGGTTAGCCCAAGAACTTCGACGACGACCGGCGAGTTTGTTGATTTTGGGTATGTTTTCGTAGCAATTTGTGCCGTAGTCTGTATTTCATTCACGCTATCCCGATCCCTAAACACACTTTTTGTTTTATACATTATCTACCTCGCTTTTTTTCTATTTGTATTTATTGTTTTGTGCGTAATTTAATTTATTTTTCGAATTCGATTGTAATTTCAGCATCTTGCTTTTTATCGTAATCGCACAGCCTATTTGAGCCTAGGACACTTCACATTTCCAGTCAGGAATATTAAATTCTTCATAATACCGAAGCTCCCGATGCACAAAGCGAAATCCTATAGATCCTTCTTTTGTGATAAAATTTCAATTTCTTTGCGTTCCTGTAATTTTCTCCGCTTCTTGTAATTTAAATGTTTATCCGTTCGCTCGCGAAATTAGTTTTTTTTATAATCGAGTTAATCGGATAAATATTTTCCAATTAACGAAACTCACATCCGGATTCCGGTCGGGGAACATCAATCATGAAATAATAATTGCCCGATTGGAAAATTCGTCAGGCGGATATCGGTCCGTTGCAGCGACTCAAATCGGTCGAATAGAATTCGCGAAATAAAATATTTCGTGTAATATTTTTTTTGCAGTAAATCAACCCGGGGAGTCATCGTTTCGCTAATAATTCAAATGCTCGTAGTTCCGAGCAATTTATGGCTCCGAATGAAACGAAACTGCTTCCAAATTGTGCAGTAATTTATATGCTCGATGTGGACATAATGATGCTTGGAACTTCGGCGGAATAAAATAGTAAACTTGGTAGAATCGAAAGAATTATTATTAACTCGAATAAGTTTACTGGGTGACTTGAAATGATTGCCTTGATTTTTGATCATTAACTCACCAGAAATATCCTCAATCACTTTTATTTTTCTAGTCTCAAGTTCTTACCCGTGATATTTATTAGGTAATTTTGGTGGAATTATTAAATGCGATCGAATTTAAACAATTTAAAAAAAATCAGTATTTGTCGGAGCGGCCTTCGCTTTAATTATGGTAGAAATTATTTTGCAATATTTCCGGGGTTAAATACTTTTGGCCAAGGCTGTAAATGTATCTCAAGCTCCATTTCCAGCATTCCGGAAATGTAAAGGAATACAACAAACAAAATCATTTTTATACTTTCGGCCAGCATTATAAAATTAAGTTGTAATTTAATCCTTGTTAGGTGAGCATTTAAAAGACATCAATAATGCACACGATAAAAACATCACGCAATATTATACTCCCTGTTCTCCTCGGCTCTTCATAAATTTATGGAGAGCTTTACAACCAGAACGTGCCTAATCCCCTGTTATACATCCCTAATGTCGTAAAAAGAAAACAATTTTAATACTGTTAAATACATTCGAAAAAAATATGTGAAATAATGTAAATGAAGGATTTGACAGAGCAGTAATTGGATAATGAATCGAAATATTTTAAAGGTGTTATTTTCAATACGAATACACAAAAGTGGTAATTGGTTTTAATGTAATTGAAGTAGATACTTTTTGTTACTGTAGTTTTGGAAAGAAAGTTTCTAGTAACATAATCTATCATTAATTAACTACCCCGTAGTGTTGTAGTTGAAATATTTAATACGAAATTGGATTAGTTTGGTTCTTTTTTTTAGAAAAAATCAAACGTAATTTTCACCGTACTTATGTAAAGTTAGTCGTGGAACTATATACTTAAAACATCCCAACTTTCGAGCGATAAAAGATAGAATGTCGTTAGTTGAAAGTTGGACATATCAGAAGCTCTAAAAAGGCGTTATAAAAGTTGAAAAATCCAGAGAGTTCTTGATTGATTATTTTCGAAAGTTTTAATAAAACTTCCGGGCGTTGTGTAAAAGTGCACATCAGAAAGTTGAAATTAGAAAACGCCGGAAAGAATTACTACTAAGGCGTTCTTTTTGTCCGAAACTACAAGAAATTGTTTATTAAATTACAAATTACGATGAAATATGGCGGCGCCTATAGGTAGGAAATGAAGCGGAAATGTGTCGACTAACGAAAAACTTGTCCCGGAGCGATAACCTTCCCGTGTGGAAAACTTTGGAAAATTCGTGAGGAATTTCCCGAAGAAACGACGCCCCACCATCCCAGGCATTTAGATAAATTTCCGTCTGAAATATTAGGTCCAATATGGTATGTGACACGAAATAATTTCGAATACTTTATCGTCCCGAGTGCCGAGACAGGAACCGACTTGATAAAACGCATACAGAAAACGACGCACGATCTTGAAGAGGGTGCCCATTTACTTTTCCTCGGGATGAAATTCTCCGTAAATGCCTTATGCGATGAAAAGGGATAGGGAGAGGAAAAAAATACACACAGATAAATTCTTCTAAACGCTCGGGTTATAATTTATAATGTAATCAAGTTTACCAGACGCTGAAAGGTTTTGTACCGAGTGAATTGAGATAAAAAAAACATTGAGATTTTCTTAAGAAACTGTCCGTATTTTACCCCGTATGTCATCTTATTAAAGTTACGAAATTCCATATTTTTTTAAACAAGCCCTTGAGGGCGCAATTTTTTGTCTGCGACAGGAGGTGCTTGATTTATTGCTATTTGGTCCGTGAACGTGTAGCCTTTTTCTTGGACGCCACGACAAGAAATGTAATTTCTTTTTTATACATCCGAACGAGATGAGTATAGCACAGTGAATCAGATAAGTTTTTTTTTGTGGAAAAGCTCCAACAAATTATCCTCGGTAATTTAACCGTTTTATATTTTTTTCGAGCTATAGAAAGCAATTTAATACATTAATTTATAGTTTCTAACTGACTTTATTATTTACATTTTTTTGCAATAAAGTAAAAGTGCCTACCTACCTTAAGTCTTAAGTCAATGACTTGATAAAGGTGAAAGGAGAAAGGGATTACATCCACGTATTTTTCTAAAATATGAATGAAGAGATATATTTACAACCGAACCAATAGTCTACAATTTCGCAATTTTTACCATTTTCGAATATTCCTTATTTGTTTCTGTTTCCGCGCAGTTTGTTATTCGAATCGCAATATGTGCAGCGAAATTCCGGCTTGCATTCGCTGATACGGCACTAAAAAGGAGAACGGGCTCCCCGAGTCCTCGTCCTCGCCTCGCATCGACGAATATTGTTCCGATTCGAGATTTCGAGCGAAATCTCCGCGTCGAGACGTCGATATATTTTGCATAAGCGTCGGTTTTGAACGACTCTCGACCAATCTCCGGCGTCGGGCGATTCGAATTCGGTCACTATACCTTTCTCCTAATCCGATCCGGCGAGTGTTATCTCCAAATTGACGATGGGTTTCCTTGTAACTTATCTCGCTTATCGCTGAAATTGCGAACGCCACGCGTGATGTATTTTAACCGGGAAACTTTTCTCTATTCGCGTACGAGCCATTTGGATGAATAATCAATAAAATAGTAGGTATTTATATACTCATTAATTGAGTCGAGAGAATTAAACGTTTAAATTATTTAGAACTTTAATGTTGGTATATGTATACTATTTGCGAATTTGTAATTATATTGTCAACTATTAAGCTTTATGTAAATTGCCTATAATAATAATAATTATACATAGATAATGAACAGATATTATAGAGAGTAATAAAACACTTATTATGTATTTTTATTATGTAAAACTTTAAGCATAGTACTGTATTATTCAACACGATTGGAATAGCAAACTGGACAACCTGATGGTTATAAAAGCAACAAAGGCGCAATGAGTAAATAAACACATGGAATTTCAATCAGTGAAATCAGTTGAAACAGTCACGTTTGTTGAAATTGCAATTTCATAGCGTTTAAAATGGCAACGTAAAAAAACATGTAGTGGGCGATGTAAATTGTTATATTCATATTGTCGAGAGAAAAACCGGATGCCTGAATAGGCCCGTGCTTAAAATTTCCGCAAACTATCCTGCCGGTTAATAAATCATATTTCATTTCAAGTAATAACGCTTTAATTTATCAGCGGAATATCCATTAGTCAGGCAGCCGATAATTGATAGCCTTTTTCCAGGGGCGGCAAATCCTCGACTGCACAAAGAAAAATGCGCACCGCGTCGAACGCCCGATGATTTATTCTCGGGGCATAAATTAGCATCGAGATGGTCCTGCGTACATTTTTATAATAGCCGACAGAACCTAATCCCGCCGCCCCGGACGAAATCCTTCCATCCGTCAGGAGAAAGACATTCGGCTCTCCCAATTGATTCGAGCCGATGTCGGGGGATAAAAAATTCATGAAAAATCCGTTCGCTTTTTCCGAAGGACGGCTCCGAAATTTCCAGCGCATCAACGGATATTTTTATATCCGCAAGATTACTAAACTGCTTGATTGATAATTCGAATCGTCTTCGACGCGTTTAGTTTCCATCGTACGTTGTCATTACCGTTTCTCCCGAAAAGGGCTAAACACAGACCGGGTTTGAATCTAACACCCTCCGACTAACCCACATAGCTCGCGCCGCATTCGGGTTTCGCGTTACAAACGTATTACGTTCGCCCTTTGGCCGTCTCGGCGGGCGAATATCGCACTCATATGCAATATATTCCGGCCGGAATTAAATTCGAAACGCGGATCCGCAACTGCATTGTTGCAGGACGGAACGTAAAACGTAACCTTAGATTTCGAGGGTAATGAGGCGGTTGCAGGCGAGTGAAGTTTGACGGTAATTCGAGGAATGCCGTTTTGCATTCGAATATTCGCCGGGGCGGCGTAATCCGAAATATATTAATAAATAATTCATGCCGGTTGGTGTTCGCCGTGTTTAACGTTTCGGCCCGAACATCATACGTGATTAAAGAAGTTTGTTCGGTCGGTTGCGAGCCGTAAAGGGCGCTTTAGGGTAATAGGGATCGTACAGGAATTGCTCGTTAATAAATTGAATTCATATTGAAATGTTTCAGGAAGGGTTTTTTAATTACACATAATGAAAAACACCACCATTCACTGATTATTCATAAAAAAGGTACTCGAATATTAAATACTTTTTATACAATCCAGTAAAATTCCTATTATTTCCCATTTAAGAATTTTTAAATTGATAAAACATACACCTACATAATTATTATTTAATTTTTCTAAGATAGAATTCCATTTCACAAATTCAACCCTTCAAGAAGGTAGTTAATTTCTCGTATATCGTATAATCATTGGAATTCTTGTATAAAATCTGATTAAACAACTCGAATCGATTCCGAAAGGAATCTTGCAATAATAACAGAATTTACACTTGATACTTTAAGTTAGTGATTTTAGTAATAGACAATTTGCGCGAGTAACAGAATCCAGGTGTATATTTTTCTCGGATATAATTTTACTTCGATCTGTTTTGTCTCGTCTGATATAATTAAACGCTAACGAACCTGTTTTGCAACGGGACACTTCCTGGCGGAGTCGTGAAAGACAACACTATTTATTTCGCGTAAAATATAATGGGAATTATGTAACGTGCGAAAAAAAATCCGGATTATTAGACCCTTTATTAATTTTTTCGTGAGGTAAAACGTTGTCGAAAAAAAGCAATATTTGTGATGAAAAGTCGGAAAATTGAAACAATTCTTTTAATCACAGCGGAGGGATTCGATACGATTCCGCACCCAATTTCCATAAATTTCACCGAGTCGCGTCCGAAAAGTTTTCGAATCCGCAACGTTACGTGGAGAGAGAGAGTTTTGTTTTATTAAAACGAATGATATTGCGAGATAAAACAATCAGCGGGTGCGAAATTTTATTAGAATAATGGTTGTTAGTACATCGCATTAACAACGCGAAATAAAACAAAGAAAATTCAATTTGCGGCGGTCTACTGGCTTTGGATATTTCTCATTAGGGACCCTTTGGGAATTATCTTTTTGATTTTGTTAGGCACGAATGAAATGCGGTTTCCATTTTTTCCCCATACACACATTCACGTTGCGCGATGAGCACTTTAACTCATTCTTCCGTACCCTGGGAAATATATTTTATATCGGGGAACCTTAATTGTTTATTTAATTAAAATTACCGCAAATACAAAACACGCATTTATTTTTTCAAACAAAATGTAACAATAAAAAACAACAACAACTGAGAAAAAAATGACTAAAATGAGGTGAAACTGGATGAAGAAGATGTCGTATCAGTCTTGAGTCTTCCACTTAATGTTTGCTATGGTGGTACACGACTTTGTAAACGGGTACTTTGACGGGTACTGGCTTGGGAATCCTGATGGGTATGTGCTTCTCAACTGGAACGGGTACTGGCTTCTCTACGTGGTAGGGTATTTCCTTCTCCACCTTGTAGGGTACCGGTTTCTCCACGGGGATGGTGATGGTTTTGATAACGGGAACGGCGATGGGTTGGGGTACTTTCACGTGAACGGGGTAGGGTTGAGGAACCGGAACGGCCACAGGCTTGGGGATCGGAACGGGAACGGTGTGAGGAATCGGTACGGCTTCGTGCTTGTAAACAGGAATCGGAACGTGCTTGGTTATTTCCACCGTGTGCGAGATGTCGTGGTGCCCTCCATCACCTCCATAGCCCTCATGACCTCCGTAGCCCTCGTGACCTCCGTAACTGCCCGAGTAACCGGCATTTACGGTTGCGAAAGCCACCAAGATTGATACACAAAACTGAAAAAAAATACTTTTTACACGAGTGTCTTACTACAGCTTGTATACGATTAATAGAGTAACGACAAGTTTTATCTGACAATACTTTTTATACTGAAAGATTTGTGGAAGTAGAAATTAAACGTTATTAATTATCCAAAAAGATTAAAGAAAATTGGAGATAAATGATGAAAAATTACAGATATATAACATTTTTATCTACCTATTTAAATATGTAGGTATGTATAAAGTTTTTACTTTGAATAATAATTTATTTATTGAAAACCAACTTTGTAATTCATCGAATAATCTAAATAATTCGGTAACTTTAGAATTTATGAAGATAATTGAGAAATTATAGAGAAAAGTTTCTCCTACAACGAGCTTAGTTAATTAAATAATTAACTCAATAAACTAATAATTTATTCATTACGCAAACTTTTTATCAATAATTAAAAAACTAACTAAACAACTCCGAAGCAAATTGAGACCTAAAAAAACTAATTAGTGAACGAGCCGAGGTAAGTGCCTAATAATCAATTAAAGAAGCAATGTATAATGTTCGAACGTACAATTTACACGTCGAGTTTTGTAAGTTTTTTCCAATTAAGCGACTGTATCATGTCGTTTTGTGTGCCTACGCGAGTTAATAAATGCAAAATTCACGATGTTGATCATTTGAATAAAGAAATGGGCCCTAAGGCAGCCAACGGAGAAAGTCCTCTCTCGCGTTACAACATCCGTATCGGAATATTGATATTATTGAAAATGAAATGAAAGTTGACTAATTACGAAAAGGAAGTAAGTAAGACGTTTTATTAAATTTCTAATTAATAATTAATTCGCTCCGGAGGGCGATCCGTAATTATAATCGAGTTCAATTATTATAATATTTTATCGCAGGAATTTTGATTAGTTTTGAACTTTTCAATGAACATTTTTTTCTTTTTACATTATTTAACTCGACTATTTTGGAGGAATAGAAATTTTAATTTAAAAAAATCACGCACGAATTTCTAAGAGCATTATACCTACAAAAGGAAAAAAAGTTCCTTTTTTATTACGAATTTAAAGCGGCAAAGTTGAGCAGTCATTAAAATACTCGGTAGCCGTTAGTTTTAAAAGGTTACGGTTGTAAGCAAGCTCATGCATATTTTATGGCAGCTCTCTCAAACAGAATGAAGAAACCAAAGTTGCGAGAGAAACACTAAGTAACTACACGAAACGAGCAAATACATTTTTGCCCCCGAAACTTCCCTGAATTTCACCCCCTGTTTATCGCGAGCAGCGCGCAAACTAATTAATCGAAAATTAATAATACTTCTAGCGCAGGAAAAAAATTAAAACGAACGGTTCCAATTAAAATCGCGGATATTTTTTAGCCGGGGATAGGCGAGCGTCGCGGCGCCCCGGCGACACACAGCGTCAGCCTTTCCTTTGAAGTTTCTTTGTTTCGTTGCGGAATTGTAAACGAATTGTTCGGCTAAAATTGGCGCCGCCGCGATAAGTTTTAATTGATTCAGTTTTAATTGAGAAACCGCGCGCGGGAGATTTGCCTGAAATTATTTTGACGAAGGTACCTAAGTAATTAATTGGGCGCTCGGCGTCGAACGGTTTTTTTTACCTCCGAAAGGGAAGCGCGATTTTTAAATCGGAAATTCGAAATTGAGCTGTCCGAAAACCGGCTATTAGGTGGGAATTTATTTTTACGAGGCTATTTTAACTGAATTTTAAGTCCGTTCGATATCCCGCCGAAGTGTTTTTGAGTGTCTGAGGTACGGTATTTTTCTCTTTTTTTTTCGGAAAGTAGGTGGAAATAAAAGGTGAAATGGGACAACGATGCAAAGTTGGAACCGAGTCCAAACTTATTTACGATCTAATGGAAATATAGTTCCTATTGACATTAAAATCATTCTCAGAGTTGGTGAAAACTATGGTAGAATCGAGAAAGGGATAATTTTTCTTGCGAAACATTTCGAATTTTTACACACAAAAAATTAGAGCACTAATTATTTTAGTATTATCTCTGCCCTAGTTTCAGTTTTAATAACTTATAATTAAATACTTTTTTAACTGCATTCAAGTACTAAAAATTAATTCTAACTAATATTTTATATTGATTAACAATATGACTAATGTTAGTAATAATATTCTTAATTAAATTAGTATTAATGGAATTAATATCTTTGCGTGTGATTCTAAAGTGTAATAATGATTAATTGAAATACGTAGGAAATGAATTTTCAAGAAATTGCCAATCACATTTACACTATGCACACTTCACAATGTTACTATTAAAACTGTAATAAATAAATAAATAAAAACTTACTAAATTATTCATTTTTCGTCGGTTAGAAGAATTGTACGACGGTAATAGCGAATGAATCGACTGATAGATAGTTTTAGGAAAGTTGAGTATATATAGCAAAGCCGTTCTCTTACTACTTTCACTGCATCCAAGAGATTGTTCATCTTGTGATACGAAATGATATAACAATCAAAAATAGTGTAATGTCAATTTTTTCGCATTAGAAATTTTTCGCTATACCTTCAAAATGCACCGGTTCGTTACTTTCTTTTTGCTCGACCATTTTATCATAATTGTTCGACGGATTATATGGCGGATATAGGGCAATATATCAATATGTCCGATTACTTCGTTAATTACATACAATCATTTACTGTACTTTAATTAAATAGTAAAAGAGGAAATTTTATTATGTATCTGCTAATTGATTAATTATTGGATAAATAATTTATTCCATTTGAAAGAGAAGAATTTTGTATAGCGTACATATAAAATGCAATTAATAATTATCCGTTACATTAATAATAAATCTATGGGTGAAATTTATAGGAATATCACAATAGAAAATTTTTGAAAGCGTTTGTAGTTCGAAACATTTGATCGCGTGACTCTATACGGTCTTGTTTATTAGGAATTAATTGATTCATTATTAACTATCATTCCGGTAAATATACTTTTAATTCACCGCTACTTATTTCTTCATTACGACGATTTCTTAAATAACTTTATTCAAACTAATAAAAAAATGGAATTGAGCTGGAAATATCAAATCAATAAGTAATTTAAATGTATACTAGATGAATTAATGTGTAACGAGCGGTAATAAATGAAATAGTTTGTTTACTATACAGAAAATAATAAGAAATTTTTATTTACTGCAGCAGATAGAATGCATATACGAGTAGTACATTATACTGTCTTCTAATGGTAGATCGTGGCATTTTGTTAAAATTTAAAGGCGTGCATAATGTGCAATAAAACATTCTGCGACAATTCCTCCGAGTCGTTTTAATACACTAGGAATCCCTCAGTGCCGTTTGCGGAACGTTTTCCAGCAGCACTGGATTGAAACTTCCGTCTGCGGTTGAACTCTCCGGGGAAACGCGGATCATCGGCGAGCTACAATTCCGCATTTCGACGTATAGAGAAAGGTCCGGATAAAATCGGGAACTTTTCCTCTAGAAAGTTTCGCCGGTCGTCCGGAGTTAAGCAAATGACATTTTTATGTTTGGACAGGAGGATTTCCGTCCGAATTGGAAAAACTCTCGCCCCGATTATAATTGCCGGGAATCCGCTTTTAAATCCGGCGTTATTAAAGTTTTTTTTTACTGTCAATCAAACTATTATCCACGCACAACAGTTAAAACCGAATGCTAAATTCAGCAGAACATTATTCATTAACTAATCGACGCTGCGAGGTTTGTATTTTATATGCAGGAAAATCGCATGGGGATGTATTACAGGCGCGAATTGCGAAAACATACGGCAAGTTTTGAAGGCGAATAAGTACAACAAAACTCGTAAAAGTGCAGCTTGTTATCCAACGAATAACTTTATATTGTCGGCAGCCCTGCGACGGGAAGATAACGGGTTATGGGAGTTTATGGGCCCCTACATGCTACGTTAGAGTGCAATCGGAAACTTTTATAATCCTAGGAAAATATCAGGACGTAATCAGGAGAGTGAAATGTAGGAAAAGTGGCGAACTGCCGGAGAGATATAGCTTTACGTTTACTGCTCGCTCATATTCTTCTTTTCCCTGCATTTCAAACTCATACTGGAGTTATTAAACGATATTAAACGTTTCCTTTTCTTTGTGAAACTTCCATTTTACATACAGTGTTACAGGGCATTCTATTAAATTTGTTTATCGTGTAACATTCTTCTAATCTCTCTATGTATTTATTTGATATTCAATTATAAAATGCAGGTTTGGTTTAGAAATAATAGCAGTCAATTTTATATTTTATACTTCATGCTAAAATTTGGAATGAGCGGAATTGATTAAGTTTATGTATTTTACTATCGTTTTTCCGGAAATTATTCCCTACAATAAACTGAAAACTTCTTTTATACGTATCTTCGGGGCTTCAAATTTAATTAATGTAATATTACCAGCTTTTTGAACTCAATTGTTTTTCTATTTTGGCTGAAATAACTATGCAAACTTGATAAAGTCAAATATTTACGTTTATTCTAATGAAAACAAATTTTAAACATTTCCACACCCTTCAGGGTGTTGTTTTTAGTATATAGAGTTGAAATTTTGTGTAACCCTGACCTGGATTTTTCATATTCTATTTCACTACTCATTTTATATCTGTTAATTTAAACCTATTTGATGCTAGTATTGATGCTAGTTGCAGTAAAAGTTTGCAAATTCCCAAACGAAACTCCCCGTATGCAATTTATGTCGAATTCACTCGAAAGAAGCTAAGATAAATTTCCAATAACAAATAAAAGTTCCCGTATAATTTTCCCGTATTATTTGGAAAACTCCGCTCCAATAAAAGTCGACTATTCAACGAAACAAACGGCTATTTACCTGTCTTCTATATAGAAAGTCCTCGACGATAAGTCGCACCGGGGTCGAATAATAAATTATTCCGAAAGTTGGGACGTCGAGAGACTAGTTAACTAAATTGAAATTAGTTCGGAAGTGTTACGCATTAATTTATTCGTTCGAAGGGAATGAAAAACCTTTAACGGGGACACCGAAACAGATGAGCACTCCATTTTCTTCTACTCAATTAATCGGTAATTAGAAATAAACTGAATTAAGTATAAAATACACTGTTAAATAAATTAACCATTATTATATCTCGCTTTATAGGATATTTTCAAATATTAATTATTAAATTTTCTGCGCCTTGTACCTACCTCTGTACTTAAGCAAATGAGTTTGTTTTATTTGTTGATTCAATTTTTTCGCGTTGTCATTACGTCGGTATTAATTTGGGAATGTTTTTTTGAATAATGGAAATCCTCATGGAAAATAATCCCGTTAAAATTTCGGTATAGTCGCTGTTTAATTACGCTATACACGGTGTTAAAATTAATGAAATAAAAGGACGCCGAAAACAATGTTCGTTCGAAATAATGGTTTATTCGGTTATTAAAACACCGCCTAGTTGACGTATATTTGCACTAAATAAATTGTATACAGTGCCTGTAAAAAGGGGGAATATTATTCTATATTAAACTCTTTTGTTACAGGACCGGGTTTTTTCTCTTCTATTTCTATACCGGCCGTAATCTGCGGAATTTACGAACGTGACCGTTGTCTACTGTACGCCTGACAATATGGTACCCCCGAGGTTTTCCTGGTGATTTGTACGTAGGAAGCCGATAAAGGAGATGGAGAATTCCACCGAACATAAGGAAACAATTAATCTGATCAGTGGATTTAGGTAAGACAAATGGATTTTCTAGCGGCACAATTTTGCAAATAATGATTTCCTCTCGAGGCGAATCCGTCTCGAATAGAATTCGTTTCGACTGCGAATCACAAACAAAGATTAATAGACGAAAATTCGCCGTGCACACAATGTATTAGTTTACAACCCCCGTTAAACCGCAACACTTCCGAGCATTCGCCTTTCACCTTAATTCCGCCGTCCTTATGAATTTCTAAAGCAGGTCACTATTATCCCTATGAATCTTCCCAACAACACCACACACGCCGGAGAAACGAAAATTCCTGCAGGAGAAAATGCTTAATAAACTTTTCGGCATAAAGAACGGGCGTTCCTTCGGGCATGAAAAGCATCTTTGCCCTGAAATTTCGTGCTTTTTTTATGGCAACTCGAGTTTCATTATACGCGCGGAGAAAGTCGGAAAGAAATTACCGGGGTCAACAAATAGGTGAAATTTCGAAGAGTTGTTGCAACTTACAATGAAAAACTTTCTTATATAACGGCTTTATTAAAAACAACATGTCTTTTATGATGCAGGGTGACCCAACTCACACAAATATTAAGTAATATTAAACATAAATTTAATAAAAGATGTATAAAAATAAATACCTTTTTTTGTACCACTCTGTATAAGTGAAATTATTTTTAAATTGCCTTTTTAACAAACATTTATGCAAAATTTACTGATTCGTTTACAATTGACAGATAATATGCAACATTAAAAAAGTATCTAACATCGTTTTGAAAACGATCCCAATCAATTTCCAATTCCTCCTACGCTCCTTTTTCCGTGAATTACGTCAGCGTTGTGTATACGAATGATTGTAAACATCTGCTGCTCTTTCGCGGTCAAGAGAAACCAAACAAAAACGGTAGAGCATAAAGAAAATTCTAATAAAATTGGAAATACAGCGGCATAAAAAGCGGCTGTATGCGGGGGATATCTCTTGGTGATTCTTCGTGGTCGGTTTAGCAGATCACTGCACCGTGTCTATCGGGTCCGCCGAATGTCTATTACGGAATATTATTTTCTATTCGGCGCAAAAAATGGGAAAATGAATAGGTATCTGGGTTCCAAATGGAATAACGGAATGCTGGAAGGTCGGAATTTTTATATAGAAAACTGGCAAATAAACGGTTCGTTGGGTTTCCAAAGCGGCTATTTTGAACTTGGACATATTTATAACGTGAAATATTTGTTCTCGATGCTTCACCTAACGAATAAAATTTATTTTCTTTTCGATTTTTTAAATTATTACAAAGTCTCTTTCAAACTTCTTCAATGTATTTTTAAAAGATTATAAAAATGATTAGTGGGTATTCCATAAAAAATACTTGAAAGTAGCAATTAACTGCAAAGTTTTGCAATAGCTTTGCAACTTTCTCAGCCTCACAACTGCTAGTTTATTAATATTTCCTTGTTCACCTCATATTGCCAACAAATTTGCACTTGCCTATACATATGCAAGTTACATCCATAAACCCGTTCATTCATTCTTAATATTAGAGTTAAAATAAACATTTAACCCCTTTCATTCAAACGGGTAATTCCGGCTGATTTCCATGCTAGGTATATGTTCTGTGTTATGTTATGTAAATGGACGTTTTCGCAAGCGATCGAAACGCCAGGAAAATTAAACGGGCTTCTATACGGCGTTCAATGGCGCGTTGTTTGTTTACGGGAAATTTAGTTTCGCCAGTGCTAAAATAGAAAATATAAATCAATGTTTTTCTTTTAGTGGAAGTGT